AGGATGGGGCTAGGGGCTGGCTGGCTAGTGTGGCGAGGGTTATGGTTAATGTCCGGTGAGTGTGTGGTTAGGATTAAGGTTGGGGCTAGGGGCTGGTTGGCTAGTGTGGCGAGGGTTATGGTTAATGTCCGGTGAGTGTGTGGTTAGGATTAAGGTTGGGGCTAGGGGCTGGCTGGCTAGTGTGGCGAGGGTTATAGTTAATGTCCGGTGAGTGTGTGGTTAGGATTAAGGATGGGGCTAGGGGCTGGTTGGCTAGTGTGGCGAGGGTTATGGTTAATGTCCGGTGAGTGTGTGGTTAGGATTAAGGTTGGGGCTAGGGGCTGGTTGGCTAGTGTGGCGAGGGTTATGGTTAATGTCCGGTGAGTGTGTGGTTAGGATTAAGGTTGGGGCTAGGGGCTGGCTGGCTAGTGTGGCGAGGGTTATGGTTAATGTCCGGTGAGTGTGTGGTTAGGATTAAGGATGGGGCTAGGGGCTGGTTGGCTAGTGTGGCGAGGGTTATCGTTAATGTCCGGTGAGTGTGTGGTTAGGATTAAGGTTGGGGCTAGGGGCTGGTTGGCTAGTGTGGCGAGGGTTATGGTTAATGTCCGGTGAGTGTGTGGTTAGGATTAGGGTTGGGGCTAGGGGCTGGTTGGCTAGTGTGGCGAGGGTTATGGTTAATGTCCGGTGAGTGTGTGGTTAGGATTAAGGATGGGGCTAGGGGCTGGCTGGCTAGTGTGGCGAGGGTTATGGTGTTATGTCCGGTGAGTGTGTGGTTAGGATTAGGGTTGGGGCTAGGGGCTGGCTGGCTAGTGTGGCGAGGGTTATGGTTAATGTCTGGTGAGTGTGTGGTTAGGATTAAGGTTGGGGCTAGGGGCTGGTTGACTAGTGTGGCGAGGGTTATGGTTAATGTCCGGTGAGTGTGTGGTTAGGATTAAGGTTGGGGCTAGGGGCTGGCTGGCTAGTGTGGCGAGGGTTATGGTTAATGTCCGGTGAGTGTGTGGTTAGGATTAAGGTTGGGGCTAGGGGCTGGCTGGCTAGTGTGGCGAGGGTTTATGGTTAATGTCCGGTGAGTGTGTGGTTAGGATTAAGGTTGGGGCTAGGGGCTGGCTGGCTAGTGTGGCGAGGGTTTATGGTTAATGTCCGGTGAGTGTGTGGTTAGGATTAGGGTTGGGGCTAGGGGCTGGTTGGCTAGTGTGGCGAGGGTTATGGTTAATGTCCGGTGAGTGTGTGGTTAGGATTAAGGATGGGGCTAGGGGCTGGCTGGCTAGTGTGGCGAGGGTTATGGTTTATGTCCGGTGAGTGTGTGGTTAGGATTAGGGTTGGGGCTAGGGGCTGGCTGGCTAGTGTGGCGAGGGTTATGGTTAATGTCTGGTGAGTGTGTGGTTAGGATAAGGTTGGGGCTAGGGGCTGGTTGACTAGTGTGGCGAGGGTTATGGTTAATGTCCGGTGAGTGTGTGGTTAGGATTAAGGTTGGGGCTAGGGGCTGGCTGGCTAGTGTGGCGAGGGTTATGGTTAATGTCCGGTGAGTGTGTGGTTAGGATTAAGGTTGGGGCTAGGGGCTGGTTGGCTAGTGTGGCGAGGGTTTATGGTTAATGTCCGGTGAGTGTGTGGTTAGGATTAAGGTTGGGGCTAGGGGCTGGCTGGCTAGTGTGGCGAGGGTTTATGGTTAATGTCCGGTGAGTGTGTGGTTAGGATTAAGGTTGGGGCTAGGGGCTGGTTGACTAGTGTGGCGAGGGTTTATGGTTAATGTCCGGTGAGTGTGTGGTTAGGATTAAGGTTGGGGCTAGGGGCTGGTTGACTAGTGTGGCGAGGGTTATGGTTAATGTCCGGTGAGTGTGTGGTTAGGATTAAGGTTGGGGCTAGGGGCTGGCTGGCTAGTGTGGCGAGGGTTTATGGTTAATGTCCGGTGAGTGTGTGGTTAGGATTAAGGTTGGGGCTAGGGGCTGGCTGGCTAGTGTGGCGAGGGTTTATGGTTAATGTCCGGTGAGTGTGTAGTTAGGATTAAGGTTGGGGCTAGGGGCTGGCTGGCTAGTGTGGCGAGGGTTATGGTTAATGTCCGGTGAGTGTGTGGTTAGGATTAAGGTTGGGGCTAGGGGCTGGTTGACTAGTGTGGCGAGGGTTTATGGTTAATGTCCGGTGAGTGTGTGGTTAGGATTAAGGTTGGGGCTAGGGGCTGGTTGGACTAGTGTGGCGAGGGTTATGGTTAATGTCCGGTGAGTGTGTGGTTAGGATTAAGGTTGGGGCTAGGGGCTGGCTGGCTAGTGTGGCGAGGGTTATGGTTAATGTCCGGTGAGTGTGTGGTTAGGATTAAGGTTGGGGCTAGGGCTGGCTGGCTAGCTGTGGCGAGGGTTATGGTTAATGTCCGGTGAGTGTGTGGTTAGGATTAAGGTTGGGGCTAGGGGCTGGCTGGCTAGTGTGGCGAGGGTTTATGGTTAATGTCCGGTGAGTGTGTGGTTAGGATTAAGGATTGGGGCTAGGGGCTGGCTGGCTAGTGTGGCGAGGGTTATGGTTAATGTCCGGTGAGTGTGTGGTTAGGATTAAGGTTGGGGCTAGGGGCTGGCTGGCTAGTGTGGCGAGGGTTTATGGTTAATGTCCGGTGAGTGTGTGGTTAGGATTAAGGTTGGGGCTAGGGGCTGGTTGACTAGTGTGGCGAGGGTTTATGGTTAATGTCCGGTGAGTGTGTGGTTAGGATTAAGGTTGGGGCTAGGGGCTGGTTGACTAGTGTGGCGAGGGTTATGGTTTAATGTCCGGTGAGTGTGTGGTTAGGATTAAGGTTGGGGCTAGGGGCTGGCTGGCTAGTGTGGCGAGGGTTTATGGTTAATGTCCGGTGAGTGTGTGGTTAGGATTAAGGTTGGGGCTAGGGGCTGGCTGGCTAGTGTGGCGAGGGTTTATGGTTAATGTCCGGTGAGTGTGTGGTTAGGATTAAGGTTGGGGCTAGGGGCTGGTTGGCTAGTGTGGCGAGGGTTATGGTTAATGTCCGGTGAGTGTGTGGTTAGGATTAAGGTTGGGGCTAGGGGCTGGTTGGCTAGTGTGGCGAGGGTTTATGGTTAATGTCCGGTGAGTGTGTGGTTAGGATTAAGGTTGGGGCTAGGGGCTGGTTTGCTAGTGTGGCGAGGGTTATGGTTAATGTCCGGTGAGTGTGTGGTTAGGATTAAGGTTGGGGCTAGGGGCTGGCTGGCTAGTGTGGCGAGGGTTATGGTTAATGTCCGGTGAGTGTGTGGTTAGGATTAGGGTTGGGGCTAGGGGCTGGCTGGCTAGTGTGGCGAGGGTTATGGTTAATGTCCGGTGAGTGTGTGGTTAGGATTAAGGTTGGGGCTAGGGGCTGGCTGGCTAGTGTGGCGAGGGTTTATGGTTAATGTCCGGTGAGTGTGTGGTTAGGATTAAGGTTGGGGCTAGGGGCTGGTTGGCTAGTGTGGCGAGGGTTTATGGTTAATGTCCGGTGAGTGTGTGGTTAGGATTAAGGTTGGGGCTAGGGGCTGGTTGGCTAGTGTGGCGAGGGTTATGGTTAATGTCCGGTGAGTGTGTGGTTAGGATTAAGGTTGGGGCTAGGGGCTGGTTGGCTAGTGTGGTGAGGGTTTATGGTTAATGTCCGGTGAGTGTGTGGTTAGGATTAAGGTTGGGGCTAGGGGCTGGTTGGCTAGTGTGGCGAGGGTTTATGGTTAATGTCCGGTGAGTGTGTGGTTAGGATTAAGGTTGGGGCTAGGGGCTGGTTGGCTAGTGTGGCGAGGGTTATGGTTAATGTCCGGTGAGTGTGTGGTTAGGATTAAGGATGGGGCTAGGGGCTGGCTGGCTAGTGTGGCGAGGGTTATGGTTTATGTCCGGTGAGTGTGTGGTTAGGATTAGGGTTGGGGCTAGGGGCTGGCTGGCTAGTGTGGCGAGGGTTATGGTTAATGTCCGGTGAGTGTGTGGTTAGGATTAAGGTTGGGGCTAGGGGCTGGTTGGCTAGTGTGGCGAGGGTTATGGTTAATGTCCGGTGAGTGTGTGGTTAGGATTAAGGTTGGGGCTAGGGGCTGGCTGGCTAGTGTGGCGAGGGTTATGGTTAATGTCCGGTGAGTGTGTGGTTAGGGTTAAGGATGGGGCGAGGGGCTGGTTGGCTAGTGTGGTGGGAGCTATGGTTAATGTCTGGTGACTGTGGTTAGGATTAAGTATGGGGCGAGGGGCTGGTTAACTCGTGAGAGGGCTCGGGTTAAGGACTAGTACTAGTGGCTAGAACTCATCTCGTTGCTTAGGGTCAGAGCTAATCCAAGTGGCTGCCACTCGGTTGTGGTTAAGTACCGGTTGACGAGTTGGGTTTGGAGGAAGTCCTTGCGTTCAGTTGCCTCTCGCTAAGTGCTTGGCTGGCTTACTTTGATTGGGGCTAGGGTGGAGAAGTGGTCTCTCGCCTCCATTGAGGGCAGTGATACACACTTGCGCGTTCCCATGGCTATCTGCTTCAGTGTGCCCCCCCCTCGAGCCCCCCCCCCCCCCACGTTGTCTGCACCTCCTCCCATTGTAACCCGCGTCCTCTCTCACTTTGTGGAGACCCCCCCCCCGTCTACTCGTGACGGGAAACAGTGGCACGGGATGTGCCCCCCCCCGCCGTCTCTCCCGACCACAAGCCTATAAATCCCGAGATTGCCGATTCGATTCAACTCCCACCATCAGCAGTAGCAGCAGCACCACCAGCAGCAGCACCACCACCAGCAGTAGCAGCAGCACCACCACCACAACTCACGTCCATCCACGACCTCCTGAATCGGAACTTTCCTCCTCTTTCACCACCACCACACTCGCCTCCACCACCACTACCACACTTGTATCACCACCACCATCACCACTACCACACTTGTATCACCACCACCACCACCACACTCGCCTCCACCACCACTACCACACTTGCATCACCACCACCATCACCACCACCAACCATCACACTCGCCTCCACCACCACTACCACACTTGCATCACCACCACCACCACACTCGCCTCCACCACCACTACCACACTTGCATCACCACCACCACACTCGCCTCCATCACCACTACCACACTTGTATCACCACCACACTCGCCTCCATCACCACTACCACACTTGCATCACCACCACCACCACCACACTCGCCTCCATCACCACCACCACACTTGCATCACCGTCCGCGCTAAACTCCATCACTCCTGCCACCATCACACCATCATCACCACTGCACTTTCATCACCAACACCACCTCCATCACCACTTCCTTCATCACCACTGACTGTCCAAAACGATCATCAACCATCACTACTAAGCAACCTCTGTCACCACCATCACCTCCTTCACCAACACCACTTCAACAACAACCACCACCATCACAACCCATCTCATCTCCGCCATCAGCACTATATCCTCCATTGCCACTGCCACCACCGACTGCCTCATCATCCTCTTCCACCACCAGCACCGCCACCTCTTTCTCCAGCTCAGGCTGCCGAGTGTGGGAGTGCTGATTTGCTGGACCTCATGGCGCTGGGCATTCCTGCACGCACGCCCCTGCTGCTGCTGCTGCTCCTACAGCTGCTGCTCGTGCCGGAGAGCTCTGCAGGTGATGGTGAGTGTCCGCTTGCTTTGACTGCGTGGGGAGCGGCGGCGCAGTGGTTAGCGCGCTGCGCTCCGAACCCGCCCACCCGAGTTGAGATTCCCGCTCGTGGCCTCCCGACACCAGCGACGGGAATGTCCGAAGCAGTCCTGGGGCGTCCCCTGTGGCAGGGGTCCGCAGCCTGCGTCTCAGGGGCCGCGTGCGGCTCTCTTCAAGGAACTGCTTCGTGGCCGTTATTCATTCGTGATTCACCGTCTCGTATTCACCCACAGTGCATTGCGGCTCTTCAACACACAAAAACGAACGGAATTCGAAATGAATGGCTCTTACTTGATTTGATGCTTTCGTGACTGCAGGAATTGCTCTTTGTTTTTTCGGTAAAGTCACGTAGAAATAAGAATTTTTTTTATTCTTATTTCTTATTTCTACGTGACTTTACCAAAAAAACCAAAGAGTCAATGGCTCTTCTTCTTGTCGTTTGCCGACCCCGGCCCTATTTAGGTGGGGGGGGGGGGGGTTAACGAAACTGGATTGTGTGAGGAGCTCCACACATCCTTGAAAGATCGGTGAGCTCCTCCGGCAGGCGAGGCAGGGTTAAGGGGCCAGGGTTCTGGATGCCGCTGATCGAGGAGGATAACTCTGTCCCAGTGGTTCTTAACCTTGACTGCAGCCTTGCACCCCCTTTTGCTTCTCAATAGGTAAAACAATGTAGGATGTTAATAAATGCGCAGGGTTTGATGAAACAAAGTAAGTTGTCACTCACGTGCCCGTACTTAATTTGTGTTCCGATGATTTAGCTTCTAAAAAATACCTGGCCATGTCTCGCCACCCCCAGAAAGGGCAGCTCGCTCCCACAAGGGGCTGCGTGCAACCCCCGGCTACGAACCACTGCTCTACACTTTAAGAATCGTACAGGAATCCATTCCACATGGCGGTGTAGGATGATGATGACGACGATGACGTCATAGGACACCCATTCTGATGTCATTTGTCACGTAATGAGACAGCCACGTTTGGTGGGGGACCGAGTTACGCGTCGTGTTGAGTTATCCTGAGCGGTGCGTGAGTCGCAAACTCGTAATTTGTTACGTGTAGAGGGCAAGATATGCGAGACAGAATGTATAGTCTCTGCCGTTTTTATAGAGACCCATAGACCGACATCGTCACCCTCCATCGAAGACCAAAGCTCGCCCGCATAGCCTTACACAGAGCTATCGGGGCAAGTGCCGTTAGCGAGTGGCACCTATGAAAGAATACTCTGGCCCTTTTCTTTATCCACAAGGTTAGGAAGGTTTTTCTTTACTCCATGGCACGGGTCCACAACCTCCATCGCCGCTCTCTCCCGCAACGCCCCCGAGCTCCGCCTCCCGCTCCCTCTTTTAACCTCTTCCTGGCTCCGCCCCTCGTCCCCCCCTGCCCCGCCCCCGCTCCGTCTCGACCAATCATCACCTCTCTTCCCCTCTCCTGACATCGCCGTCCCTCCCGTCACTCAACCGACTTTCCCGCTCTTTTCCCTTTTTGAACGTCCCGGCCAATGCGCTTGGCTCCCCGTGCCCCTAACCAATCAGAGCATGGAGTGTTTTGCTCCTGCCTTCTTGATGACTCTGGTCCCAGGGATCGCGTGGGACAATTACTTCACCTATGAAGGCCGGCACGGCACACGAGGGGGTGGGTGGCCAGCTCCACGCCCGGCGGCCTTTGTCTCCCCAGTGCTAATGTTTTACAGACCACACCAGGCCGTGATTTAAGGCTGAGTCAACCTAGGGGAGGCCAAGGACCAGTTCACATATTCGCCATTGCTATTGGTCGTGAGGAGGAATCGAACTCGGGTGGCCGATTTTGCAGCGCCAACCGCTGCACCACTGCTCCCCCCCCCACCACCACCACCAACCCCGTAACCCTCCACAGGTCCCAGCAGCTCGACCTTCCAGATCTACAACGCGGCTCACGACCGCTGCCTGGAGGCCAAGGGCACCACCACGGGGGTGGCGAGGTGCGACGCCGACGCGCCAGCCCAGCGGTGGCAGTGGGGCTCCTCAGCCACGCTCTTCGCCGCCTCCTCCCCGGGCCTGTGCCTCTCGGGGCCTCTCAACCCCGCCGAGCTCAACCCCGTGGAGCTGGCGCCGTGCGGCGGCGGGCGGCCGCCGGCGGCCGCGGCAACGGCGGCCGGGGGGGGCATAGCGGCCGGCCGCCTGCAGGCCTGGGAGTGCCGCAACGACACGCTGCTGTCGCTGAGCGGCACGGACCTGCACCTGAACTGGCGCGGGACCCAGGGTTCGGTGGCCGTGCTGTTCAGGGGCATGCTGGGGTGGAGCCGCTGGGTGTTGTGGGATACCCGCGACAGTCTTTGCAGCCGCACCTACACGGGTACGGGAACCGTGCTGGGTAGCTCCTGTTTTACTACTGCCGCTAACCGAGCCGTGCCTACACGGGTACGGGAACCGTGCTGGGTAGCTCCTGTTTTTCTGCTGCCGCTAATCGAGCCGTGTCTACACGGGTAGGTGAACTGTGCTGGGTATCTCCCGCTTTTCTACTGCCGCTAACTGAGCCGTGTCTACACGGGTAGGTGAACTGTGCTGGTTAGCTCCCGTTTTTCTACTGCTGCTAACCCAGCTGTGCCTACACGGGTACAGGAACCGTGCTGGGTAGCTCTGTCGCTTAGTCAATCGATTACCGATGGTGCCATTATTCAACGAATGATCTGTTCCATTCTTCGACGATGACGACAACTAGACTCGCACTGCAGATAGGAATGCAGGCGAAGCACGATAGAAGCCAATGGCAATAATAATTATGCATAATAGTAATTACACTCACAGCACAGGTGACGTCCAATCAGACGGCCAGTGAGTTAAACGCGGGTAGTTCAAACTGCTGGCAAGTCACAGAGCCCCCCCCTCCCTCTCCACCCACCCCCCGTCTGTGACGATTCGCGCCGCGGTGCAGCCGTCTACACCTTCGAGGGCAACGCCAAGGGGCAGCCGTGCCACGTGCCGTTCCGCTTCGAGGGCACGTGGTACGGGGGCTGCACCACGCAGGGACGCAAGGATGGCCTCCTGTGGTGCGCCACCACCCCCGACTACGGCGAGGGGAAGTGGGGGTTCTGTCCCGTGCCAGGTGAGGGCGACGTGCCTCCACCCACCACCCCCCTCCCCCCCACTTACCCCCCACCACCCACCCCCCCCCACCATTCGCTGCCCCCCACACACCCCGCTGGGATCGTAGCGATGCGGGCGAGCAGCAGCAGCAGCGGCTTTTGAACAAACGCGGTGGTCGCTGCGTCGTCATCGCGGGGCGCTTCCAGAGGCGCTTCCGCGGTTGTTTGGACCGAGTGGGTGCGGACCGGTTGCCGGACCGAATGCGTTGTTGTGAGGTCGCCCTCGCCACACGCACAAAGCGCTGGGCCACAAATTGGAGCACAACACCTTGCTGGCGATCTCGTCGACGAGTCTTCGACCATCGTCACGCAAAGTCCGCTCGCCTTCGCGGCTATTGGCGAAACGTCGGGCTAAGGCGGGGGTCACCCCAAATTATCATCGCGCGGTGCTTCCAGACGCGCTTCTGCGGCCGTCTGGAACGCTGGAGAGCTGTGTGCACTTTTAAATCGTCATCTGTATTGACACACTCGTTTGTTTTTTTAGGACTGCTTTTTGTGTTTAGTTTGCCATCGCTCCCCGCACCTCCGATTAGTGCGGTTGGCTACCGATTACCGATGGTAATGAAATTATCCATAATAAAGGGGGTGGGGGTTTGGTTATATTGCGTAAATATAACTGCGTCGTGAAACCCACCGCCACCCGACACAGCCAACTGGTAAGGCTCGTGGCGTGAACACAACGTGCCCATTAGTTACGAGTTCAGCACACGTGGGTGTGTGTGTGTGAGTGCCGTGACGTTTCGCCCGGCGATTACAACAGCAACAACCACAACAAACAAAACAACAGCCACAACAACCACAACATCAGCCACATCAACAACAACCACAACATCAACCACAACAGCCACAACATCATACAAAACAACAACCACAACATCAACCACAACATCAACCACATCAACAACAACCACAACATCAACCACAACAGCCACAACATAAACCACATCAACAACCACAACATCAACCACAACAGCCACAACATCAACCACAACAACCACAACATCAACCACATCAACAACAACCACAACATCAACCACAACAGCCACAACATCAACCAAAACAACAACAACCACAACATCAACCACAACAGCCACAACATCAACCACATCAACAACAACCACAACATCAACCACAACAGCCACAACATCAACCAAAACAACAACAACCACAACATCAACCACAACAACCACAACATCAACCACATCAACAACAACCACAACATCAACCACAACAGCCATAACATCATACAAAACAACAACCACAACATCAACCACAACAGCCACAACATCAACCACATCAACAACAACCACAACATCAACCACAACATCAACCACAACATAAGCCACATCAACAACAACCACAACATCAACCACAACAGCCACAACATCATACAAAACAACAACCACAACATCAACCACAACAAACACAACATCAACCACATCACCAACAACAACCACAACATCAACCACAACAGCCACAACATCAGCCACATCAACAACAACCACAACATCAACCACAACAGCCACAACATCAACCAAAACAACAACAACAACCACAACATCAACCACAACAACCACAACATCAACCACATCAACAACAACAACCACAACAGCCACAACATCAACCAAAACAACAACCACAACATCAACCACAACAGCCACAACATCAACCACAACAACCACAACATCAACCTCATCAACAACAACCACAACATCAACCACAACAGCCACAACATCAACCAAAGCAACAACAACAACCACAACATCAACCACAACAGCCACAACATCAACCACATCAGCAACAACCACAACATCAACCACAACAGCCACATCAACCAAAACAACAACAACAACAACCACAACATCAACCACAACAGCCACAACATCAACCACATCAACAACAACCACAAAATCAACCACAACAGCCACAACATCAACCACATCAACAACAACCACAACATCAACCACAACAGCCACAACATCAACCACATCAACAACATCAACCACAACAACCACAACATCAACCACATCAACAACAACCACAACAGCCACAACATCAACCACATCAACAACAACCACAACATCAACCACAACAGCCACAACATCAACCACAACCACAACAGCCACAACATCAACCACAACCACAACAGCCACAACATGAACCACAACCACAACATCAACCACATCAACAACAACATCAGCCACATCAACCACAACAGCCACAACATCAACCACAACAGCCACAACATCAACCACATCAACAACAACATCAACCACATCAACAACAACATCAACCACATCAACAACAACATCAACCACAACAGCCACAACATCAACCACAACAACCAGCCTCATCAGGCAACAACTTGGTCGCCTGGTTGCGATGATGTGGTCCGACCCCCCCCCACTGACCCTCCCCACCGACCCCCCCACCGACCCCCCCCCCCCCCCCCCCCGCCAGGAGACTCGTGCGAGCACTTCTGGCAGAAGGACCCCCGCTCCGGCTCGTGCTACCACCTGGCCCTGTCGGCCGCCCTGCCGTGGTACGAGGCCCGCAGCGCGTGCCGCCAGCAGGGGGCCCAGCTGCTGAGCGTGGCCCAGCTCCACGAGCAGGCCTTCCTCTCCGGTGAGGGCACCACAGAACAACTTGCGGTCATGAAGCGCCCTCACCACAGCCGTTCTCAGGGCGCAAGTTAAGGGCAGGTTTCGTATGTATGTTGCGCAGGTTGAACGTCTTTCGCACCGCACGCAGCCAATCGGAGGTGCGGTGTTTGTGTGTTGAACGTCTTTCGCACCGCACGCAGCCAACCGTGCCAATCGGAGGCGCGGTGTTTGTGTGTTGAACTTCTTTCGCACCGTACGCAGCCAATCGGAGGTGCGGTGTTTGTGTGTTGAACGTCTTTCACACCGCACGCAGCCAATCGGAGGTGCGGTGTTTGTGTGTTGAACGTCTTTCGCACCGCACGTAGCCAACCGTGCCAATCGGAGGTGCGGTGTTTAAGGTAGGCACCAATAAGGGGTTGACAGGTCTGGGTTCAGGACGTGTCACGGCCTGTCCCAGACGGGGGGTGACCGACGGGTCAAGAGCCCCGCGTCCCCGTGGTGGAGTCCACCGCTCGGCCCTGGAGGTCACGGCGGCGGCGTTATTGGCGGTGCTGGAGGGGGCCTCTCGCCGCGGCCACGCGGTGGGAAAACAAAAAAGCACGGGCGCCGGCAAAAACGGGAAGCCGAAACCGTCCAGAGTGGGCTCTCGGGGGCGGTGGCGTGAGCAGGGGGATGGGGGGGGTGGTGCAGGGCTGCGCCATTGCCTCGCTGTGGCCCGTGCGTGACACTCCGGTGTCTGTGGCCAGGGCTGACGAGCTCGCAGGACAGCACCCTGTGGATGGGGCTCAACGACCTGGACGAGCACGGAGGGTGGCAGTGGAGCGACCACCGACCCTTCCGCTATCTCAACTGGAAGGCGGGTGAGTGCGTGGGTGAGCGGGCGAGTGCGTGGGTGAGCGGGCGGGCGGGTGAGTGCGTGGGTGAGTGGGCGGGTGAGTGCGTGGGTGAGCGGGCGGGCGGGTGAGTGCGTAGGTGAGCGGGCGGGCGGGTGAGTGCGTGGGTGGGTGAGTACACGAGTGATTGGTTTAGCGAGTGAGTGGGTGGATGAGTTGTGATTGGTTCAGCGAGTGAGTGGGTGAGTGAGTGGGTGAGTGGATAGGTGATTGGTTTAGCGAGTGAGTGAGTGGGTGAGTTGTGATGGGTTTAGCAAGTGAGTTAGTGAGTGAGTGGATGAGTGATTGGTTTAGCGAGTGAGTGGGTGAGTGGATGAGTGATTGGTTTAACGAGTGAGTGGGTGAGTTGTGATTGGTTTAGCGAGTGAGTTGGTGAGTTGTGATTAGTTTAGCAAGTGAGTGGATGAGTGAGTGGGTGAGTTGTGATTAGTTTAGCAAGTGAGTTGGTGAGTGAGTGGATGAGTGATTGGTTTAGCGAGTGAGTGGGTGAGTGGATGAGTGATTGGTTTAGCGAGTGAGGGGGTGAGTGGGTGAGTTGTGATTGGTTTAGCGAAAGAGTGGGTGAGTGAGTGGGTAAGTTGTGATTGGTTTAGCGAGTGAGTGGGTGAGTTGTGATTGGTTTAGCGAGTGAGTGGATGAGTTGTGATGGGTTTAGCAAGTGAGTTGGTGAGTGAGTGGATGAGTGATTGGTTTAGCGAGTGAGTGGGTGAGTTGTGATTGGTTTAGCAAGTGACTGGGTGAGTGAGTGGATGAGTGATTGGTTTAGCGAGTGAGTGGGTGAGTGAGTGGGTGAGTTGGGATTGGTTTAGCGAGTGAGTTGTGATTGGTTTAGCAAGTGAATTGGTGAGTGAGTGGATGAGTGATTGGTTTAACCGAGTGAGTGGGTGAGTTGTGATTGGTTTAGCGAGTGAGTGGGTGAGTGAGTGGGTGAGTTGTGATTGGTTTAGCGGGTGAGTGGGTGAGTTGTGATTGGTTTAGCGGGTGAGTGGGTGAGTGGGTGAGTTGTGATTGGTTTAGCGGGTAAGTGGGTGAGTTGTGATTGGTTTAGCGAGTGAGTGGGTGAGTGGGTGAGTTGTGATTGGTTTAACGGGTGAGTGGGTGAGTTGTGATTGGTTTCGCGAGTGAGTGGGTGAGTGGATGAGTTGTGACTGGTTTAACGGGTGAGTGGGTGAGTTGTGATTGGTTTAGCGAGTGAGTGGATGAGTTGTGACTGGTTTAGCGGGTGAGTGGGTGAGTTGTGATTGGTTTAACGGGTGAGTGGGTGAGTTGTGATTGGTTTAGCGAGTGAGTGGGTGAGTGGGTGAGTTGTGATTGGTTTAACGGGTGAGTGGGTGAGTTGTGATTGGTTTCGCGAGTGAGTGGGTGAGTGGATGAGTTGTGACTGGTTTAGCGGGTGAGTGGGTGAGTTGTGATTGGTTTAGCGGGTGAGTGGGTGAGTTGTGATTGGTTTAACGGGTGAGTGGGTGAGTTGTGATTGGTTTAGCGAGTAAGTGGGTGAGTGGGTGAGTTGTGATTGGTTTAACGGGTGAGTGGGTGAGTTGTGATTGGTTAGCGAGTGAGTGGGTGAGTGGATGAGTTGTGACTGGTTTAGCGAGCGAGTGGATGAGTTGTGACTGGTTTAGCGGGCGAGTGGGTGAGTTGTGACTGGTTTAGCGGGTGAGTGGGTGAGTTGTGATTGGTTTAGCGGGTGAGTGTGTGAGTGACTGCCCAGCTGAATCTCAGCGAGTGCGGCCTCCCATCGTCGTTCTCGCTGTCTGCGCTCCTGCCAGGACACCCCACGGACGAGGAGGATGCCAACTGTGGAGGCTTCGACGCCTCAGCCCAGGGCCAGTGGGTCACCCTGGCCTGCTCCAAGCGCCTGGGCTTCATCTGCCATAAGACAACCACCTCTCCCACACAGCCTCCACCAAAGCCAGCCACTGGTAACCACACCACCAACACCACCACCACCACCACCCGATAACACTACACCATGCACTACCACACCCACCACACATGACACCACGCCTAACCACTAGGCACCACACCATCACTACCACACTGCACCACGCACTACCACAACGCCATGTCATGCACGACACCACGACACATCATACAACTCATTCTTAATTTCACTCATTCACACACTCACCATATCACTCATCCATCCACTCAGTCACTCACCATATCACTCATCCACCCAATCAGTCACTCACCATATCACTCACCATATCACTCATCCACCCACTCATTCACTCACCATATCACTCATCCACCCACTCAGTCACTCACCATATCACTCATCCACCCACTCATTCACTCACTATATCACTCATTTACCCACTCATTCACTCACCATATCACTCATCCACCCACCCATTCACTCACCATATCACTCATCCACCCACCCATTCACTCACCATATCACTCATCCACGCACTCAGTCACTCACCATATCACTCATCCACCCACTCCATCACTCACCATATCACTCATCCACCCACCCATTCACTCACCATATCACTCATTCACCCACTCAGTCACTCACCATATTACTCATTTACCCACTCATTCACTCACCATATCACTCATCCACCCACTCAGTCACTCACCATATCACTCATCCACCCACCCATTCACTCACCATATCACTCATCCACCCACTCAGTCACTCACCATATCACTCATCCACCCACTCAGTCACTCACCATATCACTCATCCACCCACTCCATCACTCACCATATCACTCATCCATCCACTCAGTCACTCACCATATCACTCACCATATCACTCATCCACCCACTCATTCACTCACCATATCACTCATCCACCCACTCAGTCACTCACCATATCACTCATCCACCCACCCATTCACTCACCATATCACTCATTTACCCACTCATTCACTCACCATATCACTCATCCACCCACCCATCCACTCACCATATCACTCATCCACCCACCCATTCACTCACCATATCACTCATCCACGCACTCAGTCACTCACCATATCACTCATCCACCCACCCATCCACTCACCATATCACTCATCCACCCACCCATTCACTCACCATATCACTCATCCACGCACTCATTCACTCACCATATCACTCATCCACCCACTCAGTCACTCACCATATCACTCATCCACCCATTCACTCACCATATCACTCATCTACCCACTCAGTCACTCACCATATCACTCATCCACCCACTCAGTCACTCACCATATCACTCATCCACCCACTCCATCACTCACCATATCACTCATTTACCCACTCATTCACTCACCATATCACTCATTTACCCACTCATTCACTCACCATATCACTCATTTACCCACTCTCGAAAGCGACTTGAGTTTACCCTGCTTGCCGTCTCTCGAGTAACTCACCCTGGTGAAACAGAACCAACTCGACACATTTGGCGCTTGACCGATCATCATCATCACCACCACCGTCACCGCCACCACCGTCACCACCACCACCGCCATCACTATCGCCGTCACCACCACCGCCACCACCACCACTGTCACCGCCGTCACCGCCACCACCGTCACCACCACCGCCTCCGCCACCACCGCCACCACCACCACCACCACAGTCACCACTGCCGCCACCACCGCCACCACCACCGTCGCCGCCACCACCGCCACCACCACCACCGTCGCCGCCACCACCGCCACCCGCTGCTGCGGCGTTCTCTCTGCGTTGGGCAGGCGCGGGGCCGCAGGGCTGCGGTGCGGCGTGGCTGCCCTACGCGGGCTCCTGCTACCGCAGGGCGGGGAGGCGCGAGACTCAGGCACGGGCCCTGGCCGCGTGCCGCCGTGACGGCGGCGACCTCGCCAGCATCCACGGCGCGTGGGAGCTCGACTTCCTCGCCGCCCAGCTCGGTGAGCCAGAGCGTTGGCGGTGGTTGCGGTGGTTGTGGTGGTGGCGGTGGTTGCGGTGGTTGTGTTTAGTGACCGCGCGTTTACGGCGGCTGGCCCATACTGACAACTCGAACCGCACGGACTTAGCCTGTCAGGACTCGCACCGAGCACTCACCACACCAGCCAGCCAGACCCTAGCACTAACCACACCAGCCAGCCAGACCCTAGCACTAACCACACCAGCCAGCCAGACCCTAACCACACCAGCCAGCCAGACCCTAGCACTAACCACACCAGCCAGCCAGACCCTTGCCTTAACCACACCAGCCAGCCAGACCCTAGCACTAACCACACCAGCCAGCCAGACCCTAACCACACCAGCCAGCCAGACCCTAGCATTAACCACACCAGCCAGCCAGACCCTAGCACTAACCACACCAGCCAGCCAGACCCTAACCACACCAGCCAGCCAGACCCTAACCACACCAGCCAGCCAGACCCTAGCATTAACCACACCAGCCAGCCAGACCCTAGCACTAACCACACCAGCCAGCCAGACCCTAACCACACCAGCCAGCCAGACCCTAGCATTAACCACACCAGCCAGCCAGACCCTAGCACTAACCACACCAGCCAACCAGACCCTAGCACTAACCACACCAGCCAACCAGACCCTAACACTAACCACACCAGCCAGCCAGACCCTAGCACTAACCACTAACTAACCAGACCCTAGCACTAACCACACCAGCCAGCCAGGCCCTAGCCCTAACCACACCAACCAGACCCTAGCACTAACCACACCAGCCAGCCACACCCTAGCACTAACCACACCAGCCAGCCAGACCCTAGCACTAACCACACCAGCCAGCCAGACCCTAGCACTAACCACACCAGCCAACCAGACCCTAGCACTAACCACACTAGCCAGCCAGACCCTAGCACTAACCACACCAGCCAGCCAGACCCTAGCACTAACCACACCAGCCAGCCAGACCCTAGCACTAGCCACACCAGCCAGCCAGACCCTAGCACTAACCACACCAGCCAGCCAGACCCTAGCACTAGCCACACCAGCCAGCCAGACCCTAGCACTAACCACACCAGCCAGCCAGACCCTAGCACTAACCACACCAGCCAACCAGACCCTAGCACTAACCACACCAGCCAGCCAGACCCTAGCACTAACCACACCAGCCAGCCAGATCCTAGCACTAACCACACCAGCCAGCCAGACCCTAACCACACCAGCCAGCCAGACCCTAACCACACCAGCCAGCCAGACCCTAGCACTAGCCACACCAGCCAGCCAGACCCTAGCACTAACCACACCAGCCAGCCAGACCCTAGCACTAACCACACCAGCCAACCAGACCCTAGCACTAACCACACCAGCCAGCCAGACCCTAGCACTAACCACACCAGCCAGCCAGATCCTAGCACTAACCACACCAGCCAGCCAGACCCTAGCACTAACCACACCAGCCAGCCAGACCCTAGCACTAACCACACCAGCCAGCCAGACCCTAGCACTAACCACACCAGCCAGCCAGACCCTAGCCCTAACCCGAACCCAACCAGACCCTGACCCTAACTGCACTCAACCTGGAACCCTCCCAGCACCAGGAGGAGGAGAGGTGGAGGGCCGAGTTTGTGGGCCGAGCGATCGATGCGTCTGCCGCCCTGTGTGCAGGAGGAGGGGGGGCGGGAGACGTGTGGATCGGCCTTCACGACCGCCGCTCGCTCCTCTCCTACGAGTGGACGGACGACTCCACGGTGGACTTCACGCGCTGGAGCCGCTTCGAGCCGAGCGGCGGAGACCGCAGCGGAGAGAACTGCGTGATCATGACGGCCGCGGTAAAAAAACTACCGCATCCACCCGCACCACCGCCCGCATCCACCCGCACCACCGCCCGCATCCACCCGCACCACCGCCCGCATCCACCCGCACCACCGCCCGCATCCACCCGCACCACCGCCCGCATCCACCCGCACCACCGCCCGCATCCACCCGCACCACCGCCCGCATCCACCCGCACCACCGCCCGCATCCACCCGCACCACCGCCCGCATCCACCCGCACCACCGCCCGCATCCACCCGCACCACCGCCCGCATCCACCCGCACCACCGCCCGCATCCACCCGCACCACCGCCCGCATCCACCCGCACCACCGCCCGCATCCACCCGCACCACCGCCCGCATCCACCCGCACCACCGCCCGCATCCACCCGCACCACCGCCCGCATCCACCCGCACCACCGCCCGCATCCACCCGCACCACCGCCCGCATCCACCCGCACCACCGCCCGCATCCACCCGCACCACCGCCCGCATCCACCCGCACCACCGCCCGCATCCACCCGCACCACCGCCCGCATCCACCCGCACCACCGTCCCGCATCCACCCGCACCACCGCCCGCATCCACCCGCACCACCGCCCGCATCCACCCGCACCACCGCCCGCATCCACCCGCACCACCGCCCGCATCCACCCGCACCACCGCCCGCATCCACCCGCACCACCGCCCGCATCCACCCGCACCACCGCCCGCATCCACCCGCACCACCGCCCGCATCCACCCGCACCACCGCCCGCATCCACCCGCACCACCGCCCGCATCCACCCGCACCACCGCCCGCATCCACCCGCACCACCGCCCGCATCCACCCGCACCACCGCCCGCATCCACCCGCACCACCGCCCGCATCCACCCGCACCACCGTCCGCATCCACCCGCACCACCGCCCGCATCCACCCGCACCACCGCCCGCATCCACCCGCACCACCGCCCGCATCCACCCGCACCACCGCCCGCATCCACCCGCACCACTTCCCGCATCCACCCGCACCACCGCCCGCATCCACCCGCACCACCGCCCGCATCCACCCGCACCACCGCCCGCATCCACCCGCACCACCGCCCGCATCCACCCGCACCACCGCCCGCCTCCACCCGCACCACCGCCCGCATCCACCCGCACCACCGCCCGCATCCACCCCGCACCACCGCCCGCATCCACCCGCACCACCGCCCGCATCCACCCGCACCACCGCCCGCATCCACCCGCACCACCGCCCGCATCCACCCGCACCACCGCCCGCATCCACCCGCACCACCGCCCGCATCCACCCGCACCACCGCCCGCATCCACCCGCACCACCGCCCGCATCCACCCGCACCACCGCCCGCATCCACCCGCACCACCGCCCGCATCCACCCGCACCACCGCCCGCATCCACCCGCACCACCACCCGCATCCACCCGCACCACCGCCCGCATCCAGCCGCACCACCGCCCGCATCCACCCGCACCACCGCCCGCATCCACCCGCACCACCGCCCGCATCCAGCCGCACCACCGCCCGCATCCACCCGCACCACCGCCCGCATCCACCCGCACCACCGCCCGCATCCAGCCGCACCACCGCCCGCATCCACCCGCACCACCGTCCGCATCCAGCCGCACCACCGCCCGCATCCACCCGCACCACCGCCCGCATCCACCCGCACCACCGCCCGCATCCAGCCGCACCACCGCCCGCATCCACCCGCACCACCGCCCGCATCCACCCGCACCACCGCCCGCATCCAGCCGCACCACCGCCCGCATCCACCCGCACCACCGCCCGCATCCACCCGCACCACCGCCCGCATCCACCCGCACCACCGCCCGCATCCACCCGCACCACCGCCCGCATCCACCCGCACCACCGCCCGCATCCACCCGCACCACCGCCCGCATCCAGCCGCACCACCGCCCGCATCCACCCGCACCACCGCCCGCATCCACCCGCACCACCGTCCGCATCCACCCGCATCCACCGCCCGCATCCACCCGCACCACCGCCCGCATCCACCCGCACCACCGCCCGCATCCACCCGCACCACCGCCACCACCACGACTACCGCAGTCGCCACCGTACGTAGCCAACCGCGCTAATCGGAGGTGCGTGTGTGTGTGTGCTGCGTGTGTGCTGTGTGTGCTGCGTGTGTGTTGCGCGTGTGTGCTGCGTGTGTGTGTGCTGCACGTGTGTGTGTTGCGCGTGTGTGCTGCGTGTGTGCTGTGTGTGTGTGTGCTGCACGTGTGTGCTTCGTGTGTGTGCTGTGTGTGTGCTGCACGTGTGTGTGTGTGCCGTGTGTGTACTGTATGTGTGTGTGTACTGCGTATGTGCACAGCACACGTGTGTTGTGTGTGTGCTGCGTATGTGTGCGTGCTGTGTGTGTACTGTATGTGTGTGTGTACTGCGTATGTGCACAGCACATGTGTGCTGAGTGTGTGCTGCACGTGTGCTGCGTGCGTGCAGGAAGGGCGCTGGAACGACACGCAGTGCGACCGCTCCTTTGACTTTGTGTGCAAGAAAGCGCCGAGCGAGCCGGAAATCCACGAGCCGGAGCAGGGTTGCAAACCGGTAGCACGCCGCAACACCAACAACCACCACAACAACCACCACAACAACCAGCACAACTATCACAACAACCACAACAACCACCACCATCATCAACCACCACCGTCGACCACCACCGTCAACCAACAACAACAACCGCCATTCGCGACTAAGTGGCGGTGACATCACCACGACGCTTGTGCCAGGCTAGGTGCACCCTGAGGCCACGTGAAGTGTCGAATGCCCGCTGGCAGATGGCCACGGGGCAGACCCAGGTGCCACGGGTCGACTGACTGAGATGACTGAGATGACTGGCTGATGCACCACCTGTGCCCCCTACTGTGCCACCCGGCACTCCGCTCGTTGTTGTGAGCGTCGCTCCTCCGCCCTCCGTTGTTGTTGGAGGACGACTGCCTCCAACTGCCCAGTAGCGTCCTTCACGAGCCTCCTCCACAGAGACCGGTCTTGGCACCGCTGGTACCAGTCATCAGCAAGTCCACTCAGCTCCACATCCTACTGTACCACATCACTCCATCTCTTCTCTAACCCGTGCCGTGCCCGTATAGCCCCCTTGATCCGGCCAAACAAAAGCTGTTTCGGCATGCGGTGGCTGGGCATGTGGGCTACATGGCCCAGCCAACGCAGCCTTGCCTGCCGGAGGAGCTCTCCGATGGGACTTTGTCCAGATCTTTCAAGGATTTGTGAGCTCCTCACACAATCCAGCCTGGCTAAACCCAGGACGGATCGTAGTCAGGCCAGCTTAAATGTTTCTAACCGGCGAAGATGTTCCATTAGGGGGTCCACGTTTCGCATTCATAGAGAAGAGAGGAAATGACTGTGGCCGAGAAGCGCTGTCGTCCCGACAGTTCTGTTCCTTCACCTGAAGAAGGCTACTTGTGTTGTGGCCGAAACGTCGTGAGAATTTTATTATGTTTTATTTTTATTATTTTATTTCCATTCTACGTGACTTTACCGAAAGAACCAAGAAGATGAATCCCTGCAGTGACGAAAGCTTTAAATCGAAATTTAAGACCTGAAGCTTCGTGCGGAGTGACAGACCAGGTAGCTTCCACACAGCGTTACACAACCGATTAAAAGATAATGCCACTCCATTGATTTGGAGTGAGACCTCTGCTGTTAAACCGAAGCCGGTCATGAGCACACTGCCCAGGTATGGGAAACTCTCCACTCTCTCCACAACTGCCCTATTACCAATTGGGAGTTGTGGGGGTGGAGTGTCCGATGGTACAAAATACGCAGGCAGGTTCTTAGTTTTGGTGGGGCTGATGGTAAGTCCCCACCTCTTCGTGGCAAGCTCCAGGTTCAGCAGCAGTGCCTCTAACTCTTCCTCTGAGTGAGCAGAAATTACCAGATCATCGGCATACATAACATGGTTGAGCAATAGGAAGCCATCCCTTGACCGCACCCGGGCCCCGATCAGCCTCCCATTGTATCTGTACCAGATGGAAATTCCACCGGTACAGCTATTGAAGGCTTCACGAACTCCGTGGTCGAAATAGATGTTAAATAATGTGGGGGCCAGAGGACATCCCTGTCGCACCCCAAGGTGTGCAGGGAATGGCTCCGACTCCCGACCACGTAGTTTTACTCGGGCCCGCTCACCATCATGACGGTCCTTAATGATCGTGAGCAGAGGGTCAGGGACTCCGAAAGTATGAAGAACAACCCAGATCCCAGGCCTACTGATGGTATCATAGGCCTTGACCAAGTCAATCAAGCAGAGATGCAGGTCTTGTTGGAATTCCCTACAACTCTGCTGTAGCAGACGGACAGAAAATAGGGCATCTGTGCAGGACCGCCCTTTCCTGAAACCGCATTGGGGCTCCGCAAGCCTCTCCTCAGCGTTGCCTAGCAAGGCGATGTTGAATAATCCTTGCCAGGACCTTTCCCGGCACACTGAGGAGTGAGATGCCCCTGTAGTTGTTACAGTCTGTGCGGTCCCCCTTCTTAAAAAGGACCACCAGGGCATCCTTCCAAACCTGTGGAACCCGTCCAGTGGTCCAGACTGTTGTTATGATGTCATATAGGGCAGTCTGTCCACAAACGCCACCCTCCCTCAGCATTTTGCTTAAGAGATCATCTCTGCCCGCTGCCTTTCCTGGTCTCAGACTCCTGATCACCTTCAGTACTTCCTCAACAGATGGCACCTCAGCCAGCCACTCACAGGGGGTGACTTCCTCTTCCAATATTTGAGACACCGCAGCCTCAGCAGGGTCATCCCCACTTTGTCCCAGGCTGAGGGATGTCCCCTCCCCCAGGACCTCACAGAAATGCTCAGAAAATTTGCAAACCTGTTCCTAGGGGTTGGAGATTGGATCTCCGTCCTTTCCCCTAATGATGGTAATAGGTGTGGCACTGCAGGTTACTTTTTTTTTAAAGAGCCTATTGTGATTGCGGGCCATTGAGGCAGACTCCATCTCCTCAGCAACCCGCGACCACCACCCATCCTTGCAGCGCCTCATGGCTCTCCGAACCTCCAAGCGAAGGCTGCGGTAAGCCTCCTCATTTTCCGACGTGGGATGCTGTGGCCGATGAGAGTGAGCCTGTCGCTTTTTCTCAGTCAGCTTGAACACCTCCTCTGTCAGCCAGGGTTTCTGGGGAGGTTTGGACCGTGTACCCAACGTAGCCATTGCAGCTGCATGAGCCACAGTCCTAAACCTCGCCCATTTCCCCTCGACATCAGGAGGAGTGGGGGACGATGCCAACCCCAGCTGCAAGCGATGATTAAATTCTCCCTTGCAACTTTCATCAGCTAGCTGAGACTGAGACCATGCCACTAAGGGTTTGAATGGAGTCCTGGGTGTACACCCTCCACTGGAGTGGAAGAATGGCAGGCGCATCTTACAGATGACAAGTCGATGGTCAGTGGGCAGATCAGCTCCACGGTAGGTCCTGGTGTCAAGGACATGGGCCCGCATCCGCTGTTCTGTCACGATGTAGTCCAGCAGATGTTCTTGCTTGGACCCGGCATGCATCCATGATGTTGTGTGGATGCGCCGATGCCGGAACAACGTGTTGGTAATTACAACCCCATGGGCTGCACAAAAATCTAGCAGCCTCCTGCCATTGTTATTGAGCTGATCTGGCCCATGCCTTCCAATCACTCCAGACCAGGTGCCAGCATCATGACCAACTCGGGCATTGAAGTCACCTAACAAGATGACTCTATCCCGAGGGGCCACTTTAGCTAGCACCTGTGACAGGAGGTCATAGAAGGTATCTGACTTCTCGGCCTTGCCTGCATCCCTCCACGGATGTTCATCTTCAGTGGGGGCATAAGTCACCACGACTACCACTCCTCGCCTCTGGTTGATCGAAGGCAAGCCTAAAGTAGCCTGGGGCTTACAGCTTCTCACACCTCACCGCCATGCTCCCATGCCCCCTTCATTCTTTTGTTCAGAAGAAGAGCCACACCCTTTTGTTTGGTAGTCTCCTGCCCCGAGTAGAGGACTGTCCATCCCTCATGGTGGCAGGAGCCAGAGCCGGTCCACCGGACCTCCTGAATACCACAGAGATCCAGGCGGTCCCGGTCCAGCTCCCGACAGAGGAGTGGCAGCCTCTCCTCCGCAGTGAGTGTTCGAACATTCCACGTGGCCACACGTGGTGGTTTTTTGTTTCTCGAGGAGCCCCGAGGGTAAGGATTCAGTCTCCTGGCTCCGCCAAATGGGGTTAGGCCAGGAGACGTCATAGATGCCTGTCCCCCTGGGGCCTCCGGCACAAGCTTATTCATTACAATTTTGTCGTCGTAGTTTAGTGGTAATTAATTGAAGGTGGAGGGGTTAGCAGTCCCTCGCACCTGTCCAGAGCCCCCATTTGGCCGCTGTGGTGGTTACAAATGCCATGAGTGGAAAGGACAATCGGAATTGGCCCTCCCCCCACAGCACTGCCCATGACAGTGTTGCCCGTCCAGCACCACGAGGAGGTAGGGGGTTGTTTTGTCGCACCACCACCACCACCACCACCGTCAACCACCACCAACACCGTCAGCACCGACGACCATCCGCAGCCTCCACCATCAACATCACCAGCACTTCAGCTGATACAGCGACAACATCCATCCGTCAACATTGACCACCAACCACAACCACCATCACGACGACTACCACCAAATGCCTGGCACAATTACTGTGGTCACATCACCTAGCGATCAATGTTCATGTGGTTGATGCTGTTGATGTTGTTGCTATTGTTGATGATGTTATAGATGTTGTTATTGATGTTGTTGATGATGTTGTTGATGATGAGATTGTTGATGATGATGAGGTTGTTGATGATGATGACGACGAGGTTGTCGATGATGATGATGTTGTTGATGATGTTGTTGATGATGTTGTTGTTGTTGATGATATTGTTGTTGTTGACGTTGTTGATGATGTTGTTGATGTTGTTGATGATGATGTTGTTGTTAATGTTGATGATGTTGTTGTTGATGTTGTTGATGATGTTGTTGATGTTGTTGTTGATGATGTTGTTGATGATGTTGATGATGTTGATGATGTTGATGATGTTGTTGATGATGTTGTTGTTGATGTTGTTGTTGATGTTGTTGATGATGATGTTGTTGATGTTGTTTATGATAATGTTGTTGATGTTGTTGATGTTGTTGATGTTGTTGATGATGTTGTTGTTGATGTTGTTGTTGATGTTGTTGATGATGATGATGTTGATGTTGTTTATGATGATGTTGTTGATGTTGTTGATGATGTTGTTGATGACGTTGTTGATGTTGTTGTTGACGTTGTTGATGTTGTTGTTGTTGACGTTGTGCGCAGGGCTGGAAGCGCTTCCTCTCCACGTGCTTTGCGTTTGAAGCGGCACCCCGGAGCCACGCCGACGCCGTCGCTCGCTGCACATCCCAGGGGGCGGCCCTCGCCAGCGTCCACGACCGGTGCCTCGTCGTCGCCCTCGTCATCATCGTCACGATCATCACGATCATCATCATCGCCTTCATCGTCATTACAATCATCGCGATCATTATCGCCCTCATCGCGATTATCATCTTCACGATCATCATCGCCCTCATCATCATGATAATAATAATAATCACGATCGCCATCATTGTCATCATTATAATCATCGTCAGCATCATCGTCGTCGTCATCACCCTTGTTATCATCGTCACAGTTGGCAACATCGTCGCATCATCGTCAGCCGCGCGTTACGCGCGACTGCGCGTGTCGCGACTAGCGCTGTTGGCTACGTACGGTGCGAAAGAAGTTCAGCGCGCACGTAGCGTACGTACGTGGGGAGCGGCGGTCGCTGCGGGTTAGCGCACTGCCCCTACGAACTTCGGCGACCCGAGTTCGGTTTTCCGCTCGCGACCAACACCGGTGACGGTTATCCGAACCGGTCCTGGGGCCTACAAATGGGTCGCCCGGTTTCTTTTGCGTAAAACATCGCCGCCGGGGAGGCACAAAGGCCGGGCGTTGCAGCGTTCGCCGGCCTTCGTTAGATGCCCGCCGACGGCGCTTGCCCCAACGCACCAGCGGAGGCTGCACGGGGGATCTTTGCCTTCGCTAGGTTTGAGCAGGCGTTCATCACCAGCCAAATCGGACTGGGCTCCCTGGGCTCCTATTGGCTGGGCCTGAGCGACGTCGACCAACCGGGGACCTTCAGGTGGCTCGACGGAAGGCCGGTGACCTACACAAACTGGGGAGTGAACCAGCCAGGTACCCCGCCCCGTACACGTGGTGACACGCAGGGTACTCGCACGTAGCCCCGCCCCGTACATGAAGGTACTCACCTGTGAAAACTGACTCACGCTCGTACTCACCTGTGAAGACTGACTCACGCTCGTACTCACCTGTGAAGAATGACTCACGCTCGTACTCACCTGTGAAGACTGACTCACGCTCGTACTCACCTGTGAAGAATGACTCACGCTCGTACTCACCTGTGTAGACTGACTCACACTCGTACTCACCTGTGAAGACTGACTCACACTCGTACTCACCTGTGAAGACTGACTCACGCTCGTACTCACCTGTGAAGACTGACTCACGCTCGTACTCACCTGGTAAGACTGACTGACACTCGTACTCACCTGTGAAGAGTGACTCACACTCGTACTCACCTGTGTAGACTGACTCACCCTCGTACTCACCTGTGAAGACTGACTCACCCTCGTACTCACCTGTGAAGACTGACTCACCCTCGTACTCACCTGTAAAGACTGACTCACGCTCGTACTCACCTGTGAAGACTGACTCACGCTCGTACTCACCTGTGAAGAATGACTCACGCTCGTACTCACCTGTGTAGACTGACTCACACTCGTACTCACCTGTGAAGACTGACTCACACTCGTACTCACCTGTGAAGAATGACTCACGCTCGTACTCACCTGTGAAGACTGACTCACACTCCTACTCACCTGTGAAGACTGACTGACACTCGTACTCACCTGTGAAGACTGTCTCACACTCGTACTCACCTGTGAAGACTGACTAACACTCGTACTCACCTGTGTAGACTGACTCACACTCGTACTCACCTGTGAACACTGACTCACACTCGTACTCACCTGTGAAGACTGTCTCACACTCGTACTCACCTGTGTAGACTGACTCACGCTCGTACTCAGCTGTGAAGACTGACTCACACTCGTACTCACCTGTGTAGACTGACTCACACTTGTACTCACCTGTGAAGACTGACTCACACCGGTACTCACCTGTGAAGACTGACTCACGCTCGTACTCACCTGTGTAGACTGACTCACACTTGTACTCACCTGTGAAGACTGACTCACGCTCGTACTCACCTGTGTAGACTGTCTCACACTCGTACTCACCTGTGCAGACTGTCTCACACTCGTACTCACCTGTGTAGACTGACTCACACTCGTACTCACCTGTGAAGACTGACTCACACTCGTACTCACCTGTGAAGACTGACTCACACTCGTACTCACCTGTGAAGACTGACTCACACTCGTACTCACCTGTGTAGACTGACTCACACTCGTACTCACCTGTGAAGACTGACTCACACTCGTACTCACCTGTGTAGACTGACTCACACTCGTACTCACCTGTGTAGACTGTCTCACACTCGTACTCACCTGTGAAGACTGACTCACACTCGTACTCACCTGTGAAGACTGACTCACACTCGTACTCACCTGTGAAGACTGACTCACACTCGTACTCACCTGTGAAGACTGACTCACACTCGTACTCACCTGTGAAGACTGACTCACACTCGTACTCACCTGTGAAGACTGACTCACACTCGTACTCACCTGTGTAGACTGACTCACACTCGTACTCACCTGTGAAGACTGACTCACACTCGTACTCACCTGTGTAGACTGACTCACACTCGTACTCACCTGTGTAGACTGTCTCACACTCGTACTCACCTGTGAAGACTGACTCACACTCGTACTCACCTGTGAAGACTGACTCACACTCGTACTCACCTGTGAAGACTGACTCACACTCGTACTCACCTGTGAAGACTGACTCACACTCGTACTCACCTGTGTAGACTGTCTCACACTCGTACTCACCTGTGAAGACTGACTCACACTCGTACTCACCTGTCAACTCATACAGTGGTTGTGACTTTGGTGGTCATGGATCTTTGTGATTGTGGTTGATGCGGTTGATGCGGTTGTTGTAGTTGTTGTGGTTATTATCGTTGTTGTGGTTGATGCGGTTATTGTGGTTGTTGTGGTTGCTGCGGTTGTTGTGGTTGTTGTAGTGGTGGTTGTTGATGTAGTGGTTGTTGTTGTTGTTGTGGTTGATGCGGTTGTTGTAGTTGTTGTAGTTGTTGTGGTTGATGCGGTTATTGTGGTTGTTGTTGCTGCTGCAAGGCGGCGATGTGGGCTGTGTGGTGGTGGTGGCCGGCACCACAGCCGCGGGGCTGTGTTGACGATGGTTGTGGTTGTTGTAGTGGTGGTTGTTGTAGTGGTTGTTGATGTTGTTGTGGTTGTTGTAGTGGTTGTTGTAGTGGTTGTTGATGTTGTTGTGGTTGTTGTTGATGTAGTGGTTGTTGTTGATGTTGTTGTGGTTGTTGTAGTGGTTGTTGTTGATGTTGTAGTGGTTGTTGTAGTGGTTGTTGATGTTGTTGTTGTAGTTGTTGTAGTGGTTGTTGATGTTGTTGTGGTTGTTGTTGTTGTTGTGGTGGTTGTTGATGTTGTAGTGGTTGTTGTAGTGGTTGTTGTAGTGGTTGTTGTAGTGGTTGTTGTTGTTGCTGCAAGGCGGCGATGCGGGCTGCGTGGTGGTGCTGGCCGGCTCCACCGCCGCGGGGCTGTGGAGCGTCAGGAACTGCACGCACGGCCGGGCGGGCGTCGCGTGCCGGGGCCTCCCGCAGGGGGTCACGGCCCCCCCGCCCCCCACCTCGCCCGGCCCCACCCCCACCCCCCCGCCCTGCGCCGTCGGGTGGACGACGATGGGCAACCACGAACACTGCTACCAGGCAGGGCCTCGTCACGTCGTCATCGTCGTCACGTCATCGTCACGTCATCGTCACGTCGTCATCGTCGTCACGTCATCGTCACGTCATCGTCACGTCATCGTCACGTCGTCATCACGTCGTCAACACGTCATCGTCACGTCATCGTCACGTCGTCATCATCGTCACGTCATCGTCACGTCGTCATCACGTCATCATCGTCGTCACGTCATCGTCACGTCACGTCGTCATCACGTCGCCGTCACGTCGTCATCATCGTCACGTCGTCGTCGTCACGTCATCGTCACGTCATCGTCACGTCGTCATCATCGTCACGTCATCGTCACGTCATCGTCACGTCATCGTCGCGTCGTCATCACATCGTTATCACGTCGTCAAGTCATCATCACGTCACGTCGTCATCGGTACGTCGTCATCATCGTCACGTCGTCACGTCGTCGTCACATCGTCACGTCATCGTCACGTTGTCACGTCATCGTCATGTCACGTCGTCACGTCGTCGTCACGACGTCGTCACGTCATCGTCGTCATAATGCTCATTAACATGACCGGTCGTTATCGCCGTCTTAAGATTTTTGTCGTCGTCACATCGCCATCGTTGTCATCGTCATTAACATCGTCGTCAATGTCATCTTCATAACATCGTCGTCAATGTCATCGTCATAACATCGTCGTCGTCAATGTCATCTTCATTAACATCATCGTCAATGTCATCTTCATTAACATCGTCGTCGTTAATGTCATCTTCATTAACATCGTCGTCAATGTCATCTTCATTAACATCGTCGTCGTTAATGTCATCTTCATTAACATCGTCGTCAATGTCATCGTCATTAACATCGTCGTCAATGTCATCTTCATTAACTTCGTCGTCGTCAATGTCATCTTCATTAACATCGTCGTCATCAATGTCATCTTCATTAACTTCGTCGTCGTCAATGTCATCTTCATTAACATCGTCGTCATCAATGTCATCGTCATTAACATCGTCGTCAATGTCATCTTCATTAACATCGTCGTCGTCAATGTCATCTTCATTAACATCGTCGTCGTCAATGTCATCTTCATTAACATCGTCGTCAATGTCATCTTCATTAACATCGTCGTCAATGTCATCGTCATTAACATCGTCGTTAATGTCATCTTCATTAACATCGTCGTCAATGTCATCATCATTAACATCGTCGTCAATGTCATCTTCATTAACGTCGTCGTCAACGTCATCTTCATTAACATCGTCGTCGTTAATGTCATCTTCATTAACATCGTCGTCGTTAATGTCATCTTCATTAACATCGTCGTCATCAATGTCATCTTCATTAACATCGTCCTCGTCAATGTCATCTTCATTAACATCGTCGTCAATGTCATCTTCATTAACATCGTCGTCAAAGTCATCGACATTAACATCGTCGTCAATGTCATCTTCATTAACATCGTCGTCGTCAATGTCATCTTCATTAACATCGTCGTCAATGTCATCGTCATTAACATCGTCGTCAATGTCATCTTCATAACATCGTCGTCAATGTCATCGTCATAACATCGTCGTCGTCAATGTCATCTTCATTAACATCATCGTCAATGTCATCTTCATTAACATCGTCGTCGTTAATGTCATCTTCATTAACATCGTCGTCAATGTCATCTTCATTAACATCGTCGTCGTTAATGTCATCTTCATTAACATCGTCGTCAATGTCATCGTCATTAACATCGTCGTCAATGTCATCTTCATTAACTTCGTCGTCGTCAATGTCATCTTCATTAACATCGTCGTCATCAATGTCATCTTCATTAACATCGTCGTCGTCAATGTCATCTTCATTAACATCGTCGTCATCAATGTCATCGTCATTAACATCGTCGTCAATGTCATCTTCATTAACATCGTCGTCGTCAATGTCATCTTCATTAACATCGTCGTCGTCAATGTCATCTTCATTAACATCGTCGTCAATGTCATCTTCATTAACATCGTCGTCAATGTCATCGTCATTAACATCGTCGTCAATGTCATCTTCATTAACATCGTCGTCAATGTCATCATCATTAACATCGTCGTCAATGTCATCTTCATTAACGTCGTCGTCAATGTCATCTTCATTAACATCGTCGTCGTTAATGTCATCTTCATTAACATCGTCGTCGTTAATGTCATCTTCATTAACATCGTCGTCATCAATGTCATCTTCATTAACATCGTCGTCGTCAATGTCATCTTCATTAACATCGTCGTCAATGTCATCTTCATTAACATCGTCGTCAAAGTCATCGTCATTAACATCGTCGTCAATGTCATCTTCATTAACATCGTCGTCGTCAATGTCATCTTCATTAACATCGTCGTCGTTAATGTCATCTTCATTAACATCGTAGTCAATGTCATCTTCATTAACATCGTCGTCAAAGTCATCGTCATTAACATCGTCATCAATGTCATCTTCATTAACATCGTCGTCGTCAATGTCATCTTCATTAACATCGTCGTCGTCAATGTCATCTTCATTAACATCGTCGTCAATGTCATCTTCATTAACATCGTCGTCAATGTCATCTTCATTAACATCGTCGTCGTCAATGTCATCTTCATTAACATCGTCGTCAATGTCATCTTCATTAACATCGTCGTCGTCAATGTCATCTTCATTAACATCGTCGTCGTCAATGTCATCTTCATTAACATCGTCGTCGTCAATGTCATCGTCATTAACATCGTCGTCAATGTCATCGTCATTAACATCGTCGTCGTCAATGTCATCGTCATTAACATCGTCGTCAATGTCATCGTCATTAACATCGTCGTCGTCAATGTCATCTTCATTAACATCGTCGTCGTCAATGTCATCGTCATTAACATCGTCGTCGTCAATGTCATCGTCATTAACATCGTCGTCGTCAATGTCATCTTCATTAACATCGTCGTCAATGTCATCGTCATTAACATCGTCGTCGTCAATGTCATCTTCATTAACATCGTCGTCAATGTCATCTTCATTAACATCGTCGTCGTCAATGTCATCTTCATTAACATCGTCGTCAATGTCATCTTCATTAACATCGTCGTCGTTAATGTCATCTTCATTAACATCGTCGTCAATGTCATCGTCATTAACATCGTCGTCAATGTCATCGTCATTAACATCGTCATCGTCAATGTCATCTTCATTAACATCGTCGTCAATGTCATCTTCATTAACATCGTCGTCGTCAATGTCATCTTCATTAACATCGTCGTCAATGTCATCTTCATTAACATCGTCATCAATGTCATCTTCATTAACATCGTCGTCAATGTCATCGTCATTAACATCGTCGTCAATGTCATCTTCATTAACATCGTCGTCAATGTCATCTTCATTAACATCGTCGTCGTTAATGTCATCTTCATTAACATCGTCATCAATGTCATCGTCATTAACATCGTCGTCAATGTCATCGTCATTAACATCGTCATCATCAATGTCATCTTCATTAACATCGTCGTCAATGTCATCTTCATTAACATCGTCGTCGTCAATGTCATCTTCATTAACATCGTCGTCAATGTCATCTTCATTAACATCGTCCTCGTTAATGTCATCTTCATTAACATCGTCGTCAATGTCATCTCCATTAACGTCGTCGTTAATGTCATCTTCATTAACATCGTCGTCGTCAATGTCATCTTCATTAACATCGTCATCAATGTCATCTTCATTAACATCGTCGTCAATGTCATCTTCATTAACATCGTCGTCGTCAATGTCATCTTCATTAACATCGTCGTCAATGTCATCGTCATTAACATCGTCGTCGTCAATGTCATCTTCATTAACTTCGTCGTCGTCAATGTCATCGTCATTAACATCGTCGTCAATGTCATCTTCATTAACATCGTCGTCGTCAATGTCATCTTCATTAACATCGTCGTCGTCAATGTCATCTTCATTAACATCGTCGTCGTCAATGTCATCTTTATTAACATCGTCGTCAATGTCATCGTCATTAACTTCGTCGTCGTCAATGTCATCGTCATTAACATCGTCGTCAATGTCATCTTCATTAACTTCGTCGTCGTCAATGTCATCGTCATTAACATCGTCGTCAATGTCATCTTCATTAACAACGTCGTCAATGTCATCGTCATTAACATCGTCATCAATGTCATCTTCATTAACATCGTCGTCAATGTCATCTTCATTAACGTCGTCGTCAATGTCATCTTCATTAACATCGTCGTCAATGTCATCGTCATTAACATCGTCGTCGTCAATGTCATCTTCATTAACTTCGTCGTCGTCAATGTCATCGTCATTAACATCGTCGTCAATGTCATCTTCATTAACATCGTCGTCGTCAATGTCATCTTCATTAAAATCGTCGTCGTCAATGTCATCTTTATTAACATCGTCGTCAATGTCATCGTCATTAACTTCGTCGTCGTCAATGTCATCGTCATTAACATCGTCGTCAATGTCATCTTCATTAACTTCGTCGTCGTCAATGTCATCGTCATTAACATCGTCGTCAATGTCATCGTCATTAACATCGTCGTCAATGTCATCTTCATTAACAACGTCGTCAATGTCATCGTCATTAACATCGTCGTCAATGTCATCTTCATTAACATCGTCGTCAATGTCATCTTCATTAACATCGTCGTCAATGTCATCGTCATTAACATCGTCGTCAATGTCATCTTCATTAATATCGTCGTCGTCAATGTCATCGTCATTAACATCGTCATCAATGTCATCTTCATTAACATCGTCGTCGTCAATGTCATCTTCATTAACATCGTCGTCAATGTCATCGTCATTAACATCGTCGTCGTCAATGTCATTGTCATTAACATCGTCGTCGTCAATGTCATCGTCATTAACATCGTCGTCAATGTCATCTTCATTAACATCGTCGTCGTCAATGTCATCTTCATTAACATCGTCGTCAATGTCATCTTCATTAACATCGTCGTCAATGTCATCGTCATTAACATCGTCGTTAATGTCATCTTCATTAACATCGTCGTTAATGTCATCGTCATTAACATCGTCGTCAATGTCATCTTCATTAAC